TATCCCAGTCTTTATTCTGCTCCCTCTATCCCACTCTTTATTCTGTTCCCTCTATCCCACTCTTTATTCTGCGCCCTCTATCCCACTCTTTATTCTGTGCCCTCGATCCCACTCTTATTCTGTTCCCTCTATCCCACCCTTAATTCTGCTCCCTTTATCCCACTCTTTATTCTGTTCCCTCTATCCCACTCTTTATTCTGCGCCCTCGATCCCACTCTTTATTCTGTTCCATATATCCCACTCTTTATTCTGCTCCCTCTATCCCACTCTTTTTTCTGCTCCCTTTATTCCACTCTTTATTCTTATCCCTCTATCCCACTCTTTATTCTGCTCACTTTATCCCAATCTTTATTCTGTTCCCTCGATCCCACTCTTTATTCTGTTCCCTATATCCCTCTCTTTATTCTGCTCCCTCTATCCCACTCTTTTTTCTGCTCCCTCTATCCCACTCTTTATTCTGCTCCCTATATCCCACTCTTTATTCTGCTCCCTCTATCCCACTCTTTTTTCTGCTCCCTCTATCCCACTCTTTATTCTGCTCCCTTTATCCCACTCTTTATTCTGCTCCCTATATCCCACTCTTTATTCTGCTCCCTCTATCCCAATCTTTATTCTGTTCCCTCTATCCCAGACTTTATCATGCGCCCTCTATCCTACTCTTTATTCTGTTCCCTCTTTCCCACTCTTTATTATGTGCCCTCTATCCTACTCTTTATTCTGTTCCCTTTATCCCACTCTTTATTCTGTTCCCTCTATCCCACTCTTTATTCTGTGCCCTCTATCCTACTCTTTATTCTGCTCCCTCTATCCCACTCTTTATTATGCGCCCTCGATCCCACTCTTATTCTGTTCCTTTTATCCCAGTCTTTATTCTTCTCCCTCTATCCCACTCTTATTCTGTTCCCTCTATCCCACTCTTTATTCTGCGCCCTCGATCCCACTCTTTATTCTTCACCCTCAATCCCACTCTTATTCTGTTCCCTCTATCCCTCTCTTTATTCTGTTCCCTCTATATACCACTCTTTATTCTTATCTCTTTATCCCACCCTTTATTCTGCTCCCTTTATCCCACTCTAATTCTGTTCCCTCTATTCCACTCTTTATTCTTCTCCCTCTCTCCTTCTCTTTATTCTGTTCCCTCTATCCCTCTCTTTATTCTGCTCCCTTTATCCCACTCTTTATTCTGTTCTCTCTATCCCACTCTGTATTCTGCGCCCTCGATCCCACTCTTATTCTGTTCCCTTTATCCCACTCTTTATTCTGCTCCCTTTATCCCACTCTTTATTCTGCTCCATTTATCCCACTCTTTATTCTGTTCCCTATATCCCACTCTTAATTCTGTTCCCTTTATCCCACTCTTTATTCTGCTCCCTTTATCCCTCTCTTTATTCTGCCCCCTTTATCCCACTCTTTATTCTGCCCCCTTTATCCCACTCTTTATTCTGTTCTCTCTATCCCACTCTTTAATATGCTCCCTTTATCCCACTCTTTTTTCTGTTCTCTCTATCCCACTCTTTATTCTTCTCCCTCTATCCCACTCTTTATTCTGTTCTCTCTATCCCAATCTTTATTCTTCTCCCTTTATCCCACTCTTTATTCTGCTCCCTGTATCCCACTCTTTATTCATTCTGTTCTCTCTATCCCACTCTTTATTCTGTTCTCTCTATCCCACTCTTTATTCTTCTCCCTCTATCCCACTCTTTATTCTGCTCCCTTTATCCCACTCTTTATTCTGCTCCCTTTATCCCACTTTTTATTCTGTTCTCTCTATCCCACTCTTTATTCTGTTCCCTCTATTCCACTCTTAATTCGGCTCCCTTTATCCCACTCTTTATTCGGTTCCCTCTATTCCACACTTAATTCGGCTCCCTTTATCCCACTCTTTATTCTGTTCTCTCTATCCCACTCTTTATTTTGTTCCCTTTATTCCACTCTTAATTCGGCTCCCTTTATCCCACTCTTTATTCTGTTCTCTCTATCCCACTCTTTATTCTGTTCTCTCTATCCCACTCTTATTCTGTTCCCTGTATCCCACTCTTTATTCTGCTCCCTTTTTCCCACTCTTTATTCTGTTCTCTCTATCCCATTCTTTATTCTTCTCCCTCTATCCCACTCTTTATTATGCTCCCTTTATTCCACTCTTTTTTCTGCTCCCTTTATCCCACTCTTTATTCTGTTCTCTCTATCCCACTCTCTATTCTGTTCTCTCTATCCCACTCTTTATTCTGCTCCCTCTATTCCACTCTTAATTCGGCTCCCTTTATCCCACTCTTTATTCTGCTCCCTCTATCCCACTCTTATTCTGCTCCCTCTATCCCACTCTTATTCTGTTCTCTCTATCCCACCCTTAATTCTGCTCCCTTTATCCCACTCTTTATTCTGTTCTTTCTATCCCACTCTCTATTCTGTTCTCTCTATCCCACTCTTTATTCTGCTCCCTCTATCCCACTCCTAATTCGGCTACCTCTATTCCACTCTTATTCTGCTCCCTCTATCCCACTCTTATTCTGTTCTCTCTATCCCACTCTTATTCTGTTCCCTGTATCCCACTCTTTATTCTGCTCCCTTTTTCCCACTCTTTCTTCTGTTCTCTCTATCCCACTCTTTATTCTTCTCCCTCTATCCCACTCTTTATTATGCTCCCTTTATTCCACTCTTTTTTCTGCTCCCTTTATCCCACTCTTTATTCTGTTCTCTCTATCCCACTCTCTATTCTGTTCTCTCTATCCCACTCTTTATTCTTCTCCCTCTATCCCACTCTGTTCCCTATATCCCTCTCTTTATTCTGCTCCCTCTATCCCACTCTTATTCTGTTCTCTCTATCCCTCTCTTATTCTGTTCCCTGTATCCCACTCTTTATTCTGCTCCCTTTTTCCCACTCTTTCTTCTGTTCTCTCTATCCCACTCTTTATTCTTCTCCCTCTATCCCACTCTCTATTCTGTTCTCTCTATCCCACTCTTTATTCTTCTCCCTCTATCCCACTCTGTTCCCTATATCCCTCTCTTTATTCTGCTCCCTCTATCCCACTCTTATTCTGTTCTCTCTATCCCTCTCTTATTCTGTTCCCTGTATCCCACTCTTTATTCTGCTCCCTTTTTCCCACTCTTTCTTCTGTTCTCTCTATCCCACTCTTTATTCTTTTCTCTCTATCCCACTCTTTATTCTGTTCTCTCTTTCCCACTCTTTATTCTGTTCTCTCTATCCCACTCTTATTCTGTTCCCTGTATCCCACTCTTTATTCTGCTCCCTTTTTCCCACTCTTTATTCTGCTCCCTCTATCCCACTCCTAATTCGGCTACCTCTATTCCACTCTTATTCTGCTCCCTCTATCCCACTCTTATTCTGTTCCCTCTATTCCACTCTTATTCTGCTCCCTCTATCCCACTCTTTATTCTTTTCCCTTTATCCCACTCCTAATTCGGCTCCCTCTATTCCACTCTTATTCTGCTCCCTCTATCCCACTCTTATTCTGTTCTCTCTATCCCACTCTTTATTCTGTTCTCTCTATCCCCCTCTTTATTCTGTTCTCTCTATCCCCCTCTTTATTCTGTTCTCTCTATCCCTCTCTTTATTCTGTTCTCTCTATCCCACTCTTTAATATGCTCCCTTTATCCCACTCTTTTTTCTGTTCTCTCTATCCCACTCTTTATTCTTCTCCCTCTATCCCACTCTTTATTATGCTCCCTTTATTCCACTCTTTTTTCTGCTCCCTTTATCCCACTCTTTATTCTGTTCTCTCTATCCCACTTTTATTCTGTTCCCTGTATCCCACTCTTTATTCTGCTCCCTTTTTCCCACTCTCTATTCTGTTCTCTCTATCCCACTCTTTATTCTTTTCCCTTTATCCCACTCCTAATTCGGCTCCCTCTATTCCACCCCTTTTTCAAAGGTCATACAAGTTTGCTATTAAAACAAAGAAATTGTTTCCGTGTTTGTAATAAATAGATGTATAGGTTTATCTCTTTTAAACTTAATTTAACAATAAAACATGTTTAAGCTGAATGAGACTTTACTATGTACACTAAAGTCACCCAACTTTTATACATGTATGTAGACATGGTCATGTAACCATCATAAACAGGTGTCACTATTAAAAGGTGTTTTATATAGATAGGTTCTGTTATTGTACCTTAAACACATAATGTCAGCTAATTACAAAATCCTTTGTAGGAAATTGATCCAACTGTGAAAATTTCATCTTTACAAAATTTGAGGGCAACGTTTTATTATGATCATTTAGTGTAATAAGGTAAGGTAAAACTTTGCTACCTTGACATTTTTGATACATTGCAGATGACATTTTTGGGACCAAAGTGACCAGAAAAATATATTTAATTTGACAAAACAAAATTTAGGATGAAATAAATTATTTGATTTTGATGAAAATATTTCAAGGTCAAATAACTACATTTACAAAATGAGAACTAGAACTAACTATAAACGAGTATTGGAATTGCCGTTGCTATCCTTCAGACCACTCCATCAGGTTGGCCATTATAGCACTGTGTATCACCAGCTTCAAACCTAAAATCTATAGCATATTAATCTGATGGCAGACGCGCTAGCAGCGGTAATATGTCTACATTAGACATGGATGGTTGTTTACGAAAAACTGCAATAAACTCAATTGAATTGATTCTCAGAATATGTTGGTAGTCCTTCTTTTCATGTTAGAAGAATAAATCGGACAAATAGGAATGTCACCTCGTGGTATCAGTCCTTGTTTTAGCATTTGTACAGTGTAAATATTTTTGGTGTCATATTCCATGGCTCAAGTTAATAAAGAAGATTTTTTCAAGTAAATTTCTTTTTTTATATATTTTTTTCTTAATTGTTTTATCAGTGCATGACACATCAGATAATGGTTGTCTTTAATCCACAAAGATATTAGAATTGTAACAAATACTGTGCTGATATTACAATTAATACAAAAAATGCGCAAGTAATCAAATTGTGACAAATGAGATATTTCTGTAATTGATCTTTTGTATGTTTTCAGGAAAAAGTTTAAAACTCGTTCAGGAGAGGTTATTCGACTGGTGGATTTGTTAGATGAAGGTGTAAAGCGAGCGGAAATGAAACTTGTGGAAAAAGGCAGAGACAAGGTACAAAGTCATTCTCAGCTGTCATAATAAATGACTTAAAAAATCTCTGAGATAATTATACCTTTTATACAGCTTCTTTAATTTGTTACTGTTGTTGTAAACTCATCACTCATAGTCACAGCCAAAAACATGTTTCAAGTGCACAGAACACAGTTTGATTTTCCTCACTTTGTCAGCAAAATTTCCATTTAAAAGTGGATACAAACTTGCCAACTCTCCCTATTTAGGAGGGAGACTCCCAATTTTGGACCCTAAAACTGAGCATTTTTAACTACTGAATTTGCTAAACCGTTCCTATTTTTAGCTCACTTGGCCAAGTGAGCTTATGCCATGGTGCGGCGTCCGTCATCTGTGGCCCATCCATCCGGCGTCAACTTTTTACTTGAAACAACTTCTTCTGAATAAGAAAGAGGCCCAGAGTGATGATATTTGGCCAGGGACATGCTGGGATAAAGGGCTACCAAGTTTGTTCAATTAAATAACCTTGACATATTTTCAAGGTCACAGGGGTCAAATATGTTTAAAACTTTAAAGTTTGTTCAAATGAATGACCTTGACCTAAATTCAAGGTCATGGGGGTCAAATATGTTTAAAACCCTTAAACAACTTCTTATTAATAACCAAAAGGCCTATAGTGATGATATTCAGCCAAAAGCATGCTTAGATGAAGGGCTGCCAAGTTTGTTCAAATGAATGACCTTGACAGATATATATATTCAAGGTCATAGGGATTAAATATGTTTAAAACATTTGAACGAAATCTTCTAAAAAAACAAAATGCCCAGGAAGATGATTTATGGCCAGAAGCATGCTTTGATTAAGGGCTACCAACTTTGTTCAAATGAATGACCTTTGCCCTTTTTCAAGGTCACAGGGGTCAAATATGTTAATAATCTTAAAACAACTTCTTCTGAATATCCAGAATGTCCAAATTAATGATATTTGGCCAGAAGCATGCTTTGATAAAGGGCTACCAAGTTTGTTCAAATGAATGTTCAAGGTCACAGGGGTCAAATATGTTTAAAACATTCAAACGCCATATTCTGAATAACCAAAAGGCCCGGATGATGATTTATGGCCAGAAGCATGCTTGGATGAATGGGCTACCAAGTTTGTTCAAATGAATGACCTTTGCCCATTTTCAAGGACACAGGGGTCAGATTTGTTAAATATTTCAACAACTTTTGAAAAAACAGAAGGCCCATGATGTTGATATTTGGCCAGTGGTATGGTAGGATGAAGGGCTACCAAGTTTGTCAAAATGAATGGCTTTTACCTTTTTTTACAAATCAAATATGTTCAAAATCTTTAAACCACTTCAACTGAATAACCATAAGGCGCAGGATAATAATATTTGGCCATTTACATGCTTGGGTGAAGGGCTATTATGTTTGTTCAAATTAATGACCTTGATTTTTTTCAAGGTCACAGGGGTCAAATATGTTTGAAACCTTGAAACAACTTCTTCTGAATAACCAAAAGGCGCAGGAGGAGGATATTTGACCCGTAACCTGATTGGTTTAAGTGCTACCATCTTTGTTAAAATGACTTCTTCTGAATAACTGTAAGGGCCAGCAATGCTGATATCTGGCAAGTAGCTAGTAGGATGAAGGTCTACCAATTTTGTTAAAATAAATTACCTCGACATATATTTAAGGTCACAGGGTCAAATAAGTTTGAAACCTTTACACAACTTCTGAATAACCAAAAGGTGCAGGATGATGATATTTGGCTTGTGAAATGATGGAATGAAGGGCCACCAAGTTTGTTCAAATGAAAGACCTTAACATATTCAAGGTGACAGGGGTCAAATATGATTAAAATCTGAATGACTTTTTTGGAATAACTATAAGGCCCAGAATGTTGATATCTGGCCAGTAGCATACTAGGATGAAGGTCTAACAATTTTGTTAAAATGAATGACCTTGACATATTTAAGGTCACAAATAAGTTTGAAACCTTTAAACAACTTCTTCTGAATAACCAAAAGGCGCAGGATGATATTTAGCCCATGACGTGATGGAATGAAGGGCTACCAACTTCGCTCATATTCAAGGTCAGAGGGGTCAATTCTCTATAAAAAAAAAATGAAATTTTTTTAAACATCTTCTGAATTACCAAAAGGCCCAGGGTGATGATATTTGGCCAGTAGCATGCTAGAATGAAGGGCTACCATGATTGTTCAAATAAATTACCTTAAACTAGATTCAAAGTCACATGGGTCAAATATGTTCAAAATCTTTAAATGACTTCTTCTGAATAACCAAATAGCCCAGGGTGAGGATATTTAGCCAGTTACATGTTGGCATAAAGGGCTACCAAGTTTGTTAAAACAAATGACCTTGATATATATTCATGGTCACAGGAGTAAAATTTGTTTAAAATCTTTAAACAACTTCTTCTGAGTAACCATGAGGCCCAGATGTTGATATTTGGCCAGTAGCATGCTTAAATGAAGGGCTATCAAGCTTTTATCCATTTGCATGACCTTGACCCACCTTGTAGGTCACATTTATTCAAATATGTATTAACATTTAAATTACCTAATCTCAATACAAAAAAGGTCTAGGGTGGTGATTTTTTGCAAGTTGCATGCTGAGATGAAGGGCTATAAAGTTTCTTCAACATAATGACCTTGTTTGACTTTCAAGGTCACAGGGGTCAAATGTTTTAAAATCTTTCAACAGGTTCTTTTGAATGACTTATAGTCATACATACTGATATTTTGACTGTAGCTTTATTTTAGATCACTTTTAAGGTTACATGTGCTAGATTAATACCAGGTGAGCAGTGCAGGCCTATTGGGCCTTTTGTTCCCTAGGGTGTACATACACACACATTTCATGCATGCTTTTAATTTTGAGCATGTGTAATCTCTCCCATGGAAATTTTAAAAAGTTGACAAGTATGACTGGATACCCTACGTCATATCTAGCAGATTCCCCAAATGTTGACAAGTATGACTGGATACCCTACGTAATATCTAGCAGATTCCCCAAATGTTGACAAGTATGACTGGATACCCTACGGCATATCTAGCAGATTCCCCAAATGTTGACAGGAATGACTGGATACCCTACGTCATATCTAGCAAATTCCCCAAATGTTGACAGGTATGACTGGATACCCTACGTCATATCAAGCAGATTCCCCAAATGTTGACTAGTATGACTGGACACCCTACGTCATATCTAGCCGATTCCCCAAATGATAACAAGTATGACTGGATACCCTACATCATATCTAGCAGATTCCCCAAATGTTGACAGGTATGACTGGATACCCTGCGTCATATCTAGCAGATTCCCCAAATGTTGACAGGGATGACTGGATACCCTACGTCATATCAAGCAGATTCCCCAAATGTTGACTAGTATGACTGGATACCCTACGTCATATCTAGAAGATTCCCCAGATGATAACAAGTATGACTGGATCCCCTACATCATATCTAGCAGATTCCCCAAATGTTGACAGGTAGGACTGGATACCCTACGTCATATCTAGCAGATTCCCCAAATGTTGACTAGTATGACTGGATACCCTACATCATATCTAGAAGATTCCCCAGATGATAACAAGTATGACTGGATACCCTACATCATATCTAGCAGATTCCCCAAATGTTGACAAGTATGACTGGATACCCTACATCATAGGTCATATCTAGCAGATTCCCCAGATGTTAACAAGTATGACTGGATACCCTGCATCATATCTAGCAGATTCCCCAAATGTTGACAGGTATAACTGGATACCCTACTTCGTATCTAGCAGATTCCCCAAAAGTTGACAGGTATGACTGGATACCCTACGTCATATCTAGTAGATTCTTCAAATGTTGACAGGTATAACTGGATACCCTACGTCATATCTAGCAGATTCCCCAAATGTTGACAGGTATGACTGGATCCCCTACGTCATATCTAGCAGATTCCCCTAATGTTGACAGGTATGACTGGATACCCTACGTCATATCTAGCAGATTCCCCAAATAGGCATTGGTGAAGGACATTCCCTTTTGGTGTCTAAAGTTTGGAATTCATATACCATGTTTGACATGACGAGGGTGTCACCACTAATAAGGGTGCCCCTGAGATTTTGTAAATGTATCTGAAACCCATGGTTTACAATAGTAAGTCTAGGAGAGTTGTTTGGTCTTGCAAGGGCAGGGCAAAGGAATGTTTGTCATAGCAGCTAATATAACTGAGAAACCTTTTAAGGGGATTTAACATGTAGTTTATTGAACAGAAACGTGTGTAGTGATAGTTCATGTCTTATGAGGGCTGGTTACTTATGACAACAGAGTCACAGATCTTTATGTACATTGTCACAAAACACTACACAGCCATACATGTTATGTCTGTAGTGATAGTTCTTGCCTTATGAGGGCTGGTTACTTATGACAACAGAGTCACAGATCTTTATGTACATTGTCACAAAACACTACACAGCCATACATGTTATGTCTGTAGTGATAGTTCTTGCCTTATGAGGGCTGGTTACTTATGACAACAGAGTCACAGATCTTTATGTACATTGTCACAAAACACTACACAGCCATACATGTTAAGTCTGTAGTGATAGTTCTTGCCTTATGAGGGCTGGTTACTTATGACAACAGAGTCACAGATCTTTATGTACATTGTCACAAAACACTACACAGCCATACATGTTAAGTGTGTAGTGATAGTTCTTGCCTTATGAGGGCTGGTTACTTATGACAACAGAGTCACAGATCTTTATGTACATTGTCACAAAACACTACACAGCCATACATGTTAAGTGTGTAGTGATAGTTCTTGCCTTATGAGGGCTGGTTACTTATGACAACAGAGTCACAGATCTTTATGTACATTGTCACAAAACACTACACAGCCATACATGTTAAGTGTGTAGTGATAGTTCTTGCCTTATGAGGGCTGGTTACTTATGACAACAGAGTCACAGATCTTTATGTACATTGTCACAAAACACTACACAGCCATACGTGTTAAGTGTGTAGTGATAGTTCTTGCCTTATGAGGGCTGGTTACTTATGACAACAGAGTCACAGATCTTTATGTACATTGTCACAAAACACTACACAGCCATACGTGTTAAGTGTGTAGTGGACAGTTATATTAAATATATGACATTGATAGTTTATTGGAGGAAGAGGGTGTCTAGACGTGGTGTCAACATCCTTTACACTTCCAGGATAGACGCTCTACTCTTCGTTACGAGACATTGGCACCTAAGCCTCAGACATTTCATTGTGGAATGGAAAGCTGATAAAAGATTATTTTTCTTCCATATGGATGAAGACTTGATATGACAAGGAAATGTAATGAGAAAACTGTATAGAGCACTTGAGACATGGGTGAACAAAGGCTTCAGTTCACTGATGATGAAGATGACGTGACGTTGTATAAAGGATTTTGTAACATTAATTCGGCTAAGATGTTTAACATGGTCGAGAAACTAATGGTCACCACCACTCTCTAGGAACAAATATATCTCCCCAAATCAGGAATTCCTGTATACGATTCAGCCAGTTCATTATTATTAGGTCCAAATAAAGACTTGCTGAGGCACAGGAAAACGTTGTATTGTCACCTGGAAAAGGTCGAAAATTATCAATAAAGACACTAGGACACCTGGTAAAGGTGTAGGTCAACTTCTTCATGACCTGTGGTCACTGGTACAAACCTAACTATTAAAGACTTACAAAGAAAACGCTTCTCTATCAATGAATACCCCGTTAAGTGACAAACTGGTAGAATAAGCTGACCATGATAATTATACTCTTTTTACTTCACAGTAAGATACCTTTTGAACAATCAGATAATTTTGAGGAATTAATGTTAGTTAATTAAATGTTTCAGGAATTGACAAAGGAGGAGATGAAGAAAGCAATGGAAGCTGTAGCGTATGGATGTATAAAGTACAACGATTTATCTCATAACCGTAACCACGAGTATGTCTTCTCTTTTGATAGGGTAAGTAGCTCAGCATTAATGAATGACTGTAATTAATTAGAAAATATTTACTATTGCTTCATACAAACACTTTGTCTCTTATCTGTAAATTTCAGTAGCACTTTATGACAATGACTTTGGAATGAATTAAGTTTTTGTGTGACTGGAATGTTGCGTGATCGGCTGTAATCCGCTTGGTATTTGTAAGGTTATCCTTTGGAATGATAATTTATAATGACAATGTAAAAGGATCATTGCAATAAATGTCATCAACAAACATCATAAATATTGCATAATCGTTAACTTTGTTGAACAGAACACTGACATTTACATGATAGAAACTTTAAACCACGGCCTCCACATTGCACATGACTTTAAAGTTGTTATGCTGACATTTTAGGAGATTCATATAGTAGGGAGACATGTTTGTGCTGTTTGTTATCTACTGACCTGTATGTAATCATAGACTTACCTGTATTTAATCATAGACTAACCTGTATTTAATCATAGACTGACCTGTATTTAATCATAGACTTGCATGTATTTAATCATAGACTGACCTCTATGTAATCATAGACATACCTCTATGTAATCATAGACCTACCTGTATTTAATCATAGACCTACCTGTATGTACTCATAGAATTACCTGTATTTAATCATAGACTTACCTGTATTTAATCATAGACTTACCTGTATGTAATCATTACACTTACCTGTTTAATTATAGACTTTCCTGTGTGTAATCATAAACTTACCTGTGTTTTTTAAATCATAGACTCACCTGTATTTATTCATAGACTTGCATGTATTTAATCATAGACTTACCTGTATTTAATCATAGACTTACCTGTATGTAAGCATAGACTTACCTGCATGTACTCATATAATTACCTGTATTTAATCATAGACTTACCTGTATTTAATCATAGACTTACCTGTATTTAATCATTACACTTACCTGTATTAAATCATTACACTTACCTGTATTTAATCATAGACTTACCTGTATTTAATCAAAGACTTACCTGTATGTAATCATAGACTTACGGTTACCTGTATGTAATCATACCTTTATGTTACAAATTTACCTGTATGTTAGATACTTAACTGTTTGCAATCATAGACTAACATATATGTAATCGTACCTGTTACAAATTTACCTGTATGTTAGATATTTACCTGTTTACAATCATAGATGTACATGTATGTTACAAATTTACCTGTATGTTAGATATGTACCTGTTTACAATCATAGACTTAACTACAAATGTATATACAATTATATATTTACCTGTATGTTATAGACTCACTTGTATGCTACAGATTTACCTGTATTTAATTATAGATTTACCTGTATGTTATAGATTTATCTGTATGCTATAGATTTACCTGTATGTTAAAGATTTTCTTGTATGTTAATGACTTACCTGTATTTAGATTTACTGGTGTGTTATCATAAACTTATCATTTGCATATATCAGACATACATGTTTGTGAAGATATTTTTAATAAGAGATTTATTATTTATATTTTGATTACAAGTAATGCATTGGATATTTCTATATAATTGCTTTGCTGATTGATGTTTACCTGTCGACTGTCAGCTGTGTACTGACCAGTTGTTAGGTGTTTTATATAGCAGCTGTCCAAGTGACGGTCACTATGCGATATCCCAGCAAAAAGTTCAGACGACATGCTTCCTGTAAAGGGATGTCTCAGGGAGGATTGTTATATTTATTTCTTATAGAACTCAGTTAAGACATATGTTCATTGTTTTTAGACTCACCTGTTTATTCTTTCCTGTATTTTGTATGTAGATGTTGGATGACCGAGGAAACACTGCAGCGTACCTACTGTATGCCTACACCCGGATCAGGTGAGTTTGTCGATCTGCATGGGAAAGATTTTTAGGTCACCTGAGCTTTGCTCAAGTGACCTATTCTAATCACTTTCCGTCCGTCGTGCATAAACTTTTTACATTTTCAACTTCTTCTCAAGAACTAGTGGATGAATTTTTTTCAAACTTGGTCAGAATCATCCTTTGTAGATGAGGCTACAAAATTGTAAAATTGAGATTCCTACCCCAACCCTAGGGGCCAGGGCGGGGCCCCAAAGGGAAAATTAACCAATATTTCAAAAATCTTCTTCTCCAGACTCAGAGGTACTACAGTCATTTTCTCTGCATGGAAAGAAAGATCATCAGGGGTTTTACTTGAATTGTAAATTTCAGGACCCCCGAGCTAATCGTTCACCCTAGGGGAGGGGGTAAAGTTTACTTTAGTTTATATAGGGAAATAACACTTTTGGGTATATTTCGACAACTTTCAGTAGGAAATTATTTTTACCTGGTGAGAATTACCCTTGTAGAAAGATGGTTTCAAATTGTAAAATTGAAATTACTACCCCAACCCTAGGGGCCAGGCCGGGGCCCCAAAGGGAAAATTAACCAATATTTCAAAAATCTTCTTCTCCAGACTCAGAGGTACTGCAGTCTCTGCATGGAAAGAAAGATCATCAGGGGCTTTATTTAAATTGTAAATTTTAGGACCCCCTAGCTATTCGTTCTCCTTTGGGGAGGGGGTAAAGTTTACTATAGTTTATATTGGGAAAAACACTTTTGGATATATTTTATCCATTTTCAGCAGAAAATCACTCAAACTTCGTCAGAATCATCTTTGGTAAATGAGGGTATTACATTGTAAAATAGGGATTCCTGCCCCACCCCCAGGGGCTAGGGCGGGGCCCCAAAGGGAACATTTACCAATATTTTCAAATTCTTATCCTTTGATGACGTGACAAGTATTGTATTTCACCTAGTTTACATGCTGAATTCCACATCACATCTAAACAATAAAATAAAGCTACCAGTACCTATGATATATAACTCAGGTGACCGCTAAGGCCTTTGGGCCTCTTGTTATACTTACATCATCAGTTTTGTCTCCTCATTAACAGACATCATACATGATGTATAGACACTGTACTGATAGTAAATAATGACGTCCAGTCTAGGACAAATTGATATATATATACCCAAGTGACACATCTGTCTGTCACAAACCTCTCTAACATAGATTTCTACTTTCCCAATGTCTTCAATGTTTTTAGTGTGCATCATTGGTTTGTCATCGTATGACCTTCAGAAAGACGCGACATTTTGGTCTGCAGACATGATGATCGTTTTTTTTCGTTCCCTTAATTGAGAAAGAGATGACGCTTTTTTATTTGCCTTTGACAAATCCTCCTTTGTATATAACTATTGCCGAAGCCTAGATGACATGAAAGTTTGATGATATAATTGAAGTGTTCATTATGTCAGACAGGATTAGATTGATACCATAGGTAGCCTAGATGACATGAAAGTTTGATGATATAATTGAAGTGTTCATTATGTCAGACAGGATTAGATTGATACCATAGGTTAGATTGTAATACATGTTGCTACTATATATATATATATTCACCCTTTCTGATTGTTTTTAACATCTTTTTAATAATATTTAAATTGTCACTTTCATCCCAATTCTATTGACAGTTCTTAGCATTAAAAAACACATTCCATATTTGTTGTTACATTCGTCCGTCATCCGTCGTCCGTCCGTCGTCAACTTTTTACTTTAAACAACTTCTTCTGAATAACCGAGAGGCCTAGGATAATGATATTTAGCCAGTAAAATGCTTGGATGAAGGGCTACCAAGTTTGTTCAAATAAATGATCTTCATCAATTTTCAAGGCCACAGGGGTCAAATATGTTTAAAACCTTTAAACACCTTTTTCTGAATAACCGAGTGTCCTAGGATAATGATATTTAGCCAGTAACATTCTTGGATGAAGGGCTTCCAAGTTCATTCAAATAAATGACCTTCATCAATTTTCAAGGTCACAGGGGGCAAATATGTTTAAAACCTTTAAACAACTTTTTCTGAATAACCGAGTGGCCTAGGATAATGATATTTAGCCAGTAACATGCTTGGATGAAGGGCTTCCAAGTTCGTTCAAATAAATGACCTTACCTTATCTTCAAGGTCACAGGGGTCAAATATGTTTAAAACCTTTAAACAACTTTTTCTGAATAACCGAGTGGCCTAGGATAATGATATTTAGCCAGCAACATGCTTGGATGAAGGGCTTCCAAGTTCGGTCAAATAAATGACCTTACCTTATCTTCAAGGTCACAGGGGTCAAATATGTTAAAATCTTTTAAACAACTTCTTCTGAATAACCGAGAGGCCTAGGATGATGATATTTGTCCAGTAACATGCTTGGATGAAGGGCTTCCAAGTTCATTCAAATAAATGACCTTGCCTTATCTTCAAGGTCACAGGGGTCAAATATGTTTAAATCTTTTAAACAACTTCTTCTGAATAACCGAGAGGCCTAGGGTGATGATATTTGGCCAGTAACATGCTGGGATGAAGGGCAACCAAGTTTGTTCAAATAAATGACCTTGACTTATATTCAAGGTCACAGAAGGCAAATGTGTTTTAAACATTTAAACAACTTCTGAATAACCAAGAGGCCTAGGATAATGCCAGTAACATGCTGAGATGAAGGACTACCAAGTTCAAATGAATGACCTTGACAAATATATTTTAAGGTCACAGGGGTCAAATATGTTTAAATCTTTTAATAGGTTCTTATGAATGAAACACTGTTATTTTGCCTGTAACTGTATTTTAGTCCAGTTTTAAGATTACAAGTGTGAAATTAATACCAGGTGTTTTTTTTATCCTTGTACTAATGTGCTAGGTTTGTTTGGGCCTTTTTTTTTTACAGTTTTTCATATTTTAACTTTTCCCTGCCTGGTAGATGATTTTTAATATTTTTACATATTTGTTACTCTTTTTTGTCATTTAAACTTTCATCCTTTTGATTCGTAGCCCAACATCATCAGATGGTGGCCTGTTGGAACCGCTCTTGGACTGTCAGGGTGGCATCAATATGTCACTCATTCAGTCATGAGTCTTTTAGTCATTCTATCTATGAACATTTGTATAATGTATTACTACTACTTTTAAGAAAAAAATTGTGAGGGATTATGATGAAATTTGGGATGCATTGATCCATTGGCCCATAGTTGTGCATGCAGAAATATGAGAGGATCAAAAACACAAACTAGCAACTATTTTGGATTTTGCATGTCACAATATTGTTATGCCGTTTTTCAGACACTGCCCAAGAATTATGACTAAACAATTTGGCTTATTCTTAGATTTTGTATGACTAATGTTTGTAGGACTCATCTCAAAAACTAAATGCCCCCCAGTTGTTTATCTTGGATTTTGTATGGCTATTACATGTAAAGTTTGTTACTGGTATTTTTTTTTTAAATATTCAAGGGACTGTGATGAAACTTGGTATGCATGTATGATCCCATTTTTCGCTAGTTATATGCATGATCAAACTTGATTGAAAAAATGTACATAGAACCAGCCCCTCAAAGATCATGCTGCAACTTGGTTTTCACATTTCTTAGGTGCCTGTATGATATGTGCTTGTTCAAGAGAAGAGCAGAGAAATAAAGGGAAAAGAAGCTACCTACCAGCAATGATTGACGATTGTTCAATGTCACTTGTCGGGGATACATTTTAAAATTCTAGCACAACAGAACAGATCTTTGCTTAATGTTAGATATATATGAAGCATCCCTGTATAATAGGAATGTTCTTTTATATAAACCAAGGATGTGGCCCCCAGAGTAGAGGGCTGAGACCCAAGAGACTTCAATCTTGTTTATAAATCATGTCACAGGACTGTTATGGTGAGGTTAGAGATTCCTTATAAGGATGGTTTATAGTGCTGTCTGTCTCTGTTATGGTGAGTTTGGAGATTGTCCTTATAAGGATGGTTTATAGTGCTGTCTGTCTCTGTTATGGTGAGGTTAGAGATTGTCCTTATAAGGATGGTTTATAGAGCTGTCTGTCTCTGTTATGGTGAGTTTAGAGATTGTCCTTATAAGGATGGTTTATAGTGCTGTCTGTCTCTGTTATGGTGAGTTTAGAGATTGTCCTTATAAGGATGGTTTATAGTGCTGTCTGTCTCTGTTATGGTGAGTTTAGAGATTGTCCTTATAAGGATGGTTTATAGTGCTGTCTGTCTCTGTTATGGTGAGTTTAGAGATTGTCCTTATAAGGATGGTTTATAGTGCTGTCTGTCTCTGTTATGGTGAGTTTAGAGATTGTCCTTATAAGGATGGTTTATAGTGCTGTCTGTCTCTGTTATGGTGAGTTTAGAGATTGTCCTTATAAGGATGGTTTATAGTGCTGTCTGTCTCTGTTATGGTGAGTTTAGAGATTGTCCTTATAAGGATGGTTTATAGTGCTGTCTGTCTCTGTTATGGTGAGTTTGGAGATTGTCCTTATAAGGATGGTTTATAGTGCTGTCTGTCTCTGTTATGGTGAGTTTAGAGATTGTCCTTATAAGGATGGTTTATAGTGCTGTCTGTCTCTGTTATGGTGAGTTTAGAGATTGTCCGTATAAGGATGGTTTATAGTGCTGTCTGTCTCTGTTATGGTGAGTTTAGAGATTGTCCTTATAAGGATGGTTTATAGTGCTGTCTGTCTCTGTTATGGTGAGTTTAGAGATTGTCCTTATAAGGATGGTTTATAGTGCTGTCTGTCTCTGTTATGGTGAGTTTAGAGATTGTCCTTATAAGGATGGTTTATAGTGCTGTCTGTCTCTGTTATGGTGAGTTTAGAGATTGTCCTTATAAGGATGGTTTATAGTGCTGTCTGTCTCTGTTATGGTGAGTTTAGAGATTGTCCTTATAAGGATGGTTTATAGTGCTGTCTGTCTCTGTTATGGTGAGTTTAGAGATTGTCCTTATAAGGATGGTTTATAGTGCTGTCTGTCTCTGTTATGGTGAGTTTAGAGATTGTCCTTATAAGGATGGTTTATAGTGCTGTCTGTCTCTGTTATGGTGAGTTTAGAGATTGTCCTTATAAGGATGGTTTATAGTGCTGTCTGTCTCTGTTATGGTGAGTTTAGAGATTGTCCTTATAAGGATGGTTTATAGTGCTGTCTGTCTCTGTTATGGTGAGTTTAGAGATTGTCCTTATAAGGATGGTTTATAGTGCTGTCTGTCTCTGTTATGGTGAGTTTAGAGATTGTCCTTATAAGGATGGTTTATAGTGCTGTCTGTCTCTGTTATGGTGAGTTTAGAGATTGTCCTTATAAGGATGGTTTTTAGTGCTGTCTGTCTCTGTTATGGTGAGTTTAGAGATTGTCCTTATAAGGATGGTTTATAGTGCTGTCTGTCTCTGTTATGGTGAGTTTGGAGATTGTCCTTATAAGGATGGTTTATAGTGCGGTCTGTCTCTGTTATGGTGAGTTTAGAGATTGTCCTTATAAGGATGGTTTATAGAGCTGTCTGTCTCTGTTATGGTGAGTTTGGAGATTGTCCTTATAAGGATGGTTTATAGTGCTGTCTGTCTCTGTTATGGTGAGTTTGGAGATTGTCCTTATAAGGATGGTTTATAGTGCTGTCTGTCTCTGTTATGGTGAGTTTGGAGATTGTCCTTATAAGGATGGTTTATAGTGCTGTCTGTCTCTGTTATGGTGAGTTTGGAGATTGTCCTTATAAGGATGGTTTATAGTGCTGTCTGTCTCTGTTATGGTGAGTTTGGAGATTGTCCTTATAAGGATGGTTTATAGTGCTGTCTGTCTCTGTTATGGTGAGTTTGGAGATTGTCCTTATAAGGATGGTTTATAGTGCTGTCTGTCTCTGTTATGGTGAGTTTGGAGATTGTCCTTATAAGGATGGTTTATAGTGCTGTCTGTCTCTGTTATGGTGAGTTTGGAGATTGTCCTTATAAGGATGGTTTATAGAGCTGTCTATCTCTGTTATGGTGAGTTTGGAGATTGTCCTTATAAGGATGGTTTATAGTGCTGTCTGTCTGTTATGGTGAGTTTAGAGATTGTCCTTATAAGGATGGTTTATAGAGCTGTCTGTCTCTGTCATGGTAAGTTTAGAGATTGTCCTTATAAGGATGGTTTATAGTGCGGTCTGACGAGAGGGACACAGACGATGATCTTCTGTAACTGTAGACTGTGTGTGATAGACATCTCAATCTCCTGATGAAATCTGTTGATGGAGTCGAGATTTATTTTCTTTGATCTTACCTGGAATTATCTTGTAACTCTAAAATCTCCCTGGATCACAGTTGAAACTTAATGGGAAAATATTGGAAGAATGACTGAATGTTGTTGTCAGGTGATTTAAATCAGGTCTGATGTAGTCAGTATACATTGCAGATCTTGGCAACCCCTTGTAATGATATTTACATACAAGAATAAGATACCAAAATGGAATGTTTACCTGACCTTGCTCAAAGGTACAAGTTATCTTATGCTGTGGTTTGTCCATCTGTCTATCTGATATATTGGTCAGTAGCTTGCTGAAATAAAAGATTATTAGATTTGATCAAATAAATGACCTTGACCACACTTTCAAGGTCACGGGGGTCAAATGTGTTAAAACGTTTAAATAATATCTCCTTAATAACCAAATGGCCTATAGTGATGATATTTTGCCAGTACAATGTAGCATGAAGGGATAGGGGTTTCAAATTTGTTCAAATAATTGACTTTGACCATCTTCCAAGGTCATAGAGATCAAATACGTAAGATCATTTAGACAACAAATTGTCCTTTGAATAACCAAAAGGCTATTGATATTTGACCTGTAAACTGATAATATGCTGTTAATGAAGTTTATTTTATAAATCACTTGACCCACATTTACAGTCACAGTGGTCAAATATGCTAAATTAAACAATTCCTTTTGAATAAACAAGAGGCATTAAAGATTGTCAAATACCTTGCTTGTTAGCATGGTGGAATGAAGGGCTATCAAGTGTGTTAAAACAAATGACCTTAACAACCTTCCAAGGACATAGAGGTCAGAAGTATTGAAATCTTTAAACAACTTCTGAAAAAAAAATTGGTCTAGGGTGAAATCTTTTACAGAGTATTATAGATTTTGCACGGTTGCTAAGGTGAAGAGCAATCTATTTTGTACAGAATAAAATAGGCATGTTAAAATCTTCTAAGAATTCAATCTCCTAATGAGCCACCAAGGCTAGATTAATGAAACGTGACTTGAATTTTACTGGGATGAAGGTCTATTTGAGGGATGCTAAAACAAATAGCCTTGACCTGCATTTCCACCGATTCACATTCAGGTTCCTATGTAACTGATACAGGTGCTTTGGGCCTTTTGTCATATGTTGTTACTGTATGCTTGTAATTTAGATATATTAGAGGCAAATGTAAAAGAGTAGAATATTCTTACATGCACCTTTTATGTTCTGTTTTCCTTGAATACTCTTTATTCATTTAAGTTACAAAATAACCAACAATCTCCTACTTATAGCAAGTTAAATGTAACCACACGTACATTATACCCTACACTTTTTAGCCCACTATCATCTGATGGTGGGCTTTTCAAATCGGCCTTCGTCAGTGGACCGTGGTCCGTCCGTCATCAGACGTCCGTCCTTAAACAATTCTTGTTATCACTATTTCTCAGAAAGTTTTAAAGGGATCTGTCTCAAATTTGACTTTTAAGTTCCCCTTGGTCTGTAGTTGTGCAAACAAAGTGGCCGACTGGCAGCCATCTTTGATTTTGACAGTGAAGGTTTGTTATTGCTATTTCTCAGGAAGTACTTTAGGAATCTTTCTCAGATTAGTTATTTAGGTTCCTCACCGTCCTTTATTGTTCATGTTGACTCTTGAGACTGATTGAATAAACAAAATGGCTGACAGGTGCCCATCTTTGATTTTGACAGTCAAGGTTTGTTTGTGCTATTTCTCAGAAAGTACTTGAGGGATTTTTCTCAAATTTGATCTGAAGTTTTCCCTTGATCCTTAGTTGTGCCTGTTTTTTTTAGATTGATCATAAAAACAAGATGGCCGAATGAAAAACGTAACAGAACTTTCTCATATTGCAATGTCAACGGTTATATTTCTTTCACATTAAGTCCTGTTCTAGTAAATATGTGAAACGAAAACTCACTTTAAAAGTTGTCTTTTATACACAGCAGTATTAAGTTTAGATGAAAAGTGACCTCAATGTGCATTTACTGTTAACATGACTCATTTAAAAAGATAAGACAAAAGTAGAGAAAAGATCAGAGTGACAAAGAACTTAACGAAGATGGTACATTAAGGTGGGCACCAAGATCCCACTGGGATCTCTTTTTATTTACTGTAGTATGATATCACTATTACATCCCAAATATTTATTACAATAACTGTAACAATAACCATGTTTATCCTGCGATAAGTCAAGGGATCCAAAACATTAACCCTGATGCATGGCAGGGGCTTATTACTAGGCACTGCCTTTTTTGCCAGATAAGCACAGATGTACAGCAACTGTAGCGATGATATAGAAAAGAGTATTTACATGTATTACTGATCAATAAAGCAAATTCTAAAATATTGTGTGAAGATTTATCATCAAGAAATGGCAAATGCATTGATGTTTTGTCCAGGGATATCTTAATGAAATACATTATTATGACTTTCAGGTCCATTGCTCGTACGGCCCAAGTTTCTCCTCAGCAATTAAAGGAGGCTGCAACAAAGACAAAAATTGTGCTTGACCACCCGAAGGAATGGAAGCTTGCTAAGTGCCTGCTGCGTTTCCCCGAGATTATCCTCAAGTGTCTGGACGATCTTCTGATACATACTCTGTGTGACTTCCTGTACGAGGTGGCCACAACCTTCTCCGAGTTTTACGACAGCTGCTATTGCATAGAGAAAGACAAATCAGGTATGTTAATGTGTATCAGTGAGATATGGGGATTCATCAGTGTGTCGTAAGGTGATATCTAGTTAGAAACAATTAAAATGTGTATCCAAACCTCTGATCAAATATCCTAACACAACATTAACAGGTACATGTAACTGGCAGCTATGTGTGTCATGAACCTTCATATTACAAGCCTGTGTGTGTCATGAACCTTCATATTACAAGCCTATGTGTGTCATGAACCTTCATATTACAAGCCTATGTGTGTCATGAACCTTCATATTACAAGCCT